AATTGTCTCGTGTTGTTCGCATCCACATTTTACAACACTTCTCTTTAGCTTAACTTCTTGTCTCTCTGTCTGCTACGAATCTTATAATCGAAATTTAACACTCTTCTACTTATCCTATCGATACGAAATTTTGCACACTGGCGTAAAGTTGTAGACAATGCATGAATCAAATGACAAAATAAATAATTTATAAATAATTTTTTTTTTCGATATTAAAAAACTGAAAAAATAGTTTTGTCAGCTACAAATGTTATAATTGATATTTGACACACTTTCACCTGTCCAATTGATCTGAAATTTTGCACACTTGTGTGAAGTTGGAGGCAATGCATGAATCAATTGACAGAATAAATAATTTTGAAAAAATATATATTGAAAAAATTGAAAAATTAATTTTTTAATACTCGAAAATAAAATAAGAAATTCATTGTACATCTGTAACGTTGGAGACGCTGGATTCTTTAGAAGTGTTGTTTTAAAAAAGTAATTTTTAAACGTATATTATTATTTGTATGCGTATCCTAATTACTGCTAGTTGCGCGATAAAAATTACTAATGAAAGAGGGATTCATTTCTCTTTACATTTGGTAAAAAAATTATAGAAATTAAGAAAATGTGGTGAAAATATTAATTATGGGAGGACGATTTGATTCGTTTGCGTTCCCAAAGGTATTTTCACACCAAAAAGTTGACTACGAAAATGGGCAAGAAAATAACTAAAAACTGCTTTCATCACTAACATCAAAATACTATATAGAACAAAATTAAAAATTTGTCTGGGAAAGAAACATTACCGTAAAGTGTGCCACAACCCACCGGTGGGTTGCAAGGTTTTTTCTGGACCAATTCCGCTATTTAGTTTTTTTTCAATTGCGTTTGTCGACAAAAATTTATGATGGCTGTAATACATCACTAAATTTTCAAAAGACCGAAAAAAATTAAAATATGATTTTTGCACCGGAACCTATAAATTAACTAGTATATTTTGAATGACAGGCCTTTTTATCCGGGGCCTTGGCCTTTTTTACGCCATCTGCCAGCGCTGGTGGGTCGCGACACATTTACCGTGTTAACTAATAAAAAATTGTCGAGCATGAGGCTAATCATTGGCATGTTCTAAACACAATCTATGAAACTTTTCCTCTCCATGCATCCCAAGCAAGCGTTTAACCGACTTTTCAATTATAGCCTCACAGTATCTCTACAGATAACAAGAAAATCTTTGTTCATCGCTCGCACAATATTCAGTTGACACATCACGAGCTTTGTCGCTCCGCCGACTGCGCGAAAATTTTCGCGCGACCGCAGCAGAAAAATTCGTGATCTGAAAAAAAAATTATTCCTGAATGAAGAACGTATAGGCTCCTATAAAATATGTATGGTACCACTGGGAAAATACGAGTAGAAGTAACTGAAATTATCTGTAGCTATTTTTCATGTCTCATCCTCTGAAATTAGTTTTAGACCATCTATTAGAACCCAGCAGTAAAAACGTCATATTCATTAAACTACCTTATGCTTATAACCTCACCTGCGCCAAAAATTGATTTTTCGCATATAAACAGGACATTGTTACATCAGAACCGCATTTGCGTAAGTAATTTGTAAACTCTAGCGGATTTACTGAATGATCTTTTTATTCCGGATGATCGCAAAATTTCAGCGCCTCTTCATCGAAAAGACGAAAAGAGCAACATCTAGGAAGTATCCGGTGAATATATTTGGACGAGAAACCTAGCCTGCAACCAGCGAAATTTTGTACTGAAACAAATTATTCCGGACATTTTGATTGTTCACAAGCAGCTATCCTAACAAAATTTAGAGTCGCCCCAGCTTCTGGTAATTCAAATCAGAAGACATATGGCAGAAAATAAATGATAAAATGACATAAAATGCAATAAAAAAATTTGTCTGACGAAAAGGTAGAAGTATCAGAAATAGTTACTCATTTCTGTGTTGTTATTAAGTGTGTTTAAACCACACCCTATATTCTCATATACTCATTGTATGGAGTCAAGGTATGAGGACGTTTCCAATGAATGCGTAATGTGAAGGGACGAAATGAGTTTAACGTCATCATTGAATGCGTGCATCTATATATGTCTCTTATACACATCTAGATGTGTATAAGAGACAGCATTATGTGTTGATAAAACCTTCCCTTCTTTGTTCTTCGTAACTTGTTTGATTCTTGTTTATTGGGATCCTCTTTGTTTGTGTTGCCTTCTGTAGCCACGTGTTCTTTGCCCCCTTCAGTGTTGATGTACAGGTTTGACCTGCAGTGCTGCCTTGAGGGTTTACTCGTAAAATAGACAATCTTTACAGGAATAAAGACGTTTATGTATTAGCATNATATATATATATATATATAATTGCTGCTAATTTGGTTAGATTTAATCAATATACAGAACTACCTCCTCCTTTCCTCATAGTTTGTAAGTACAAATTTATTTGGCAGTTATTTCCAACCAAAAACGTATCGCTCCATAATGCCCTATTGTGACATTTGTTAAAACATGATGCGAACAGGCGACGCGAGGTCAACCTATTCTATTTGGCTGTAAAATGGCGTCAGAATACTCCCAGAGGGCATCTATATACGTATTTAACGTATGCCAAGTTAAAACCTTTACTTGTGGATAAGAAATTAAAAATGTATTTGTTAAATAAAATGATCATCAACTGTATGGTAATTTTCTAGAATTGCAAAGAGTTGGGAAAAACATTCTTTACCATATCATTTTCTTTTTGATAGTTTTGCAACTTCACTTCTGTCGCTGCTCGTATTCTGTAAACAATGATGTGAATAATGCGAACTAAAATAGAAGACAAAATTTGTCCTCTAAAATAGTATATAATAATTTCTAATTGCACTACTTGATTTTAATTTTTTAATTATACAGAGTTGGCTGTGTCGCACTCACGGGTATTATGGATGAATTAAGTTGAACTATCACTTGGAAGGACCGTGTTGTTGTAACGTTAGCATTAATAAATATGAAACCGACTAATTTAGATGTTGCGCCACCATATCCTAGTGGTACAATTGGTGGTTTTAACTTGCATCGCTTGATAGAAAAAAATAACTTTTTTCTTGCATAAAAACATAAACACTATGACTGGAATTTCAAGGTCTCGAAATTCAGAAATCTTTTTACGGCGGTAACTGTTTAGTTAAATATAGGTACCTATTGGTTAATTTTTTCTACAGGTTCAAATAACTTGAAAAATCAACGTGAAATTATGAATTGTCATTATAAATAAAACATTTTTCATTTGAGTAGGTAGCCAATATGGAATTTCATATCTAACAATCGAAGCGAAGAGAGTTTCCTCGATACGTAGCCGACATTACCTTGAAAACAACGACAAATGTAGAGCATAAGCATTTTTGTGAATTATTGCTTGATAATTATTATTATTATTTAGATAATAAACATCTGAGAATGCGTGTATGAGGCTATTGACTCTTCGTTATATTTTTCCCATGCACGATTTTTTGGCTATCTTAAGTCACTGACAATTAAATTCACCTTCAGCATGGAATACATTGCTTGCGTCTATAATGTACCGGTAGCGTAGGTACATATGCCAGCTACTAGTTATTAAAAAATCATTATTTATAGCTATTAAATTCTAAAATACTACGAAAAAACCTGCTACTAGATATTCCATCAAATAATTCTTTTTAACATTACTATTTTAGTACGTGTATTAAAACGTACAATGTAGAGCTGATGATCTCTGTCTATGTTCATGTCATGTGGACCAGACGGCTTCCATCCCAGATTGCTCAAAGAATTAGCATCCGTTCTGGCCGGCCCATTGACAGTATTCTTTCAAAAAACCTTGAACGAAGGAACTTTGCCGTCCACATGAAAAGATCCGGTCAAATGACACGAGTTTAGATTCTATGAACAAGGCACGAAATGGAAAAGAATCGGCGACAGGCCACATCAGGCCTACACTTCAGAGCCGACATCACTATGTTATGTTATGTTATGTTCGATAATTACTATTATCTCGTTCATATCTAAGACGATTTCTCTTTATAGTTCAGAGCCATCTTTCTCCGAGCAAGTCCCGAGATCTTATTGATAACGTAACCCACTAACGCAGTCATGACGATCATGAAGGCAACAACGTCGGCGCCAATGTACTGTAGAAAATTAAGGTGGCGAGACGAGAGCTTGAGGTGCTGTGCCCCTGCCGTGGCCAAGACGTGTTCCAGCAGCCACACCGCGCGTCGCAGAGGCGTGGTCGGCTGATCCCGTAAAATGTCAGCCAAGTCCTGAGCTCGTTTGCGGTACCTGCGACACACCGAATGAGTTTAAAAGTTATTCTCGTAACTCCCCAAATGAGCTCGTCTGCGGCACCTGCAACACACGGAAATACTTTAAAGTTATTCTCGTAACTTACCCAAGGTAAAAGAATAATGCACCGTTTACCAAGAATACGAGCCATAAATAATGCGCTTTGAACTCACTCCAATTGAAGTACAATTCGGAATTCTGGAACAAAATCCAAAGTATTCATACAATGGTAGCTAATTACATATATAAGTTTATTTTACGTTACATTTTATTGGAGTTTCAACTGTTTTTGTGTGTGCAACTTAGCCAATAATTTCAGCTAACCATCGCTAGATAAGGAATTCTACCAAAGAAAATTAGCACTTGTAAGTTTCCAATGCATCGTGATTGTCTCGAAATATTTTCAACACTAATCGCCACCAGTCATTGCCTATATCCTTAGTAAAGTTCTCTCTGAGGAGCTTATGACACTAATCAAGGTGATAACTAAGATCAAAAAATTCACGTGGATTTCATTTCACTGCTATTCTCTGAAAGTACTCTGAATAAAATAAACTTTTCTAGCCATGACTCACGATGGGTCGTACAACACGGACGTGATCACTGAAAGCACTTCACTTGTCGATGAATGTTTGCTGACCTCCACAGCCACGCCAGTCTGTACCAGCCTCACCATGACATCCTGCTGGTCAGCGAACACGGGGATCCCGACCATCGGTACTCCATATGTTAGAGCCTCCAAGACTCCATGCATGCCACAGTGGCTTATAAAAAGCACGGTTTTGTTGTTAGCGAGAATGTCAACTTGTGGCGCCCACTGCACTACCTTAACGTTTTCTGGAACCGAGTGGTCGCGCATCGAGCCTTTGGCGACCATGATAATTCGTTGGGGAAGCTGCCTAAAAGCGGCGAGGTAAGTGGCAACGACTTCCCTCGGAATGAACTCCGTGTCAAATGTGAAGCCTAGGGAGAAGAGGATGAGTCCACGAGGATTTGCATCGGCAACAAATGTAGCAAATTCTTGCGGTAACAACTTTGGTTTGCCGATATGGAAGCCTCCGATTTCTAGAAACGAAGGGGGCAATTGTCTAGGGTAGTCAATGGCGGGGTGCGAGTTGATCAGCACACCAGAGAGATTAGCCAACATTTCTTGAGGCCGCGGACACGATGGAAAGTACTTCGTAATGTGACTGCCGGTTACCCAAAAGGTTACCTGATGGAATGGACATTTTTGACGCAAGTACTTTGTTTTATCAAAAAATTCAAAATAGAAAGCTGTGATCAAATTACACATTTCTATAATGTGTTAGCTTGAAAAATTTTTTAGTAAAAGATCATAAAATATTTTCTCCAACCACGTACAGGTAGCAATGTACAGAAGAGTCCTCATACGAATTATTCATTGGAGAATATTTTGCCCAGCAACATTGGCAAATTCATCGCCTGTATCTCACGTCACCGGACAGTTTCCTTTAACCCTTTGTCTACTAACGTCAACTAGTTACTCTGCAAAAACATGACATTTTTAATACCGGATAACTTTTCATGTCGCAAAGATAAGGATCGAGTCGCCCAGAAAAAGTACACAACGAGAAGTAACCTAACTTAAGTAAAACTTTGCACCGATTGTACGAAATAAACCTTCTCATCTGTTATTTATCAGTGAGGTGTTGCAATTACCTGCATAACGATTTCATTCCAAAATAAGAGTAAATGGTTGCCAATTCTCTGGAAGAAGTTCATGCGGTCACTGAAGTGCGAGAGGATGAGTGGGGTGCATGAGGGTGGGTTGAATGCTGTCGTGTACTGAGGCTCTCCTCCCGCGAATGTGAAGGCCCAGTACCCCACCACCGGTAGGCCTAAAATTAAGAAATTTCTTATTATAAGATCACTTTGACCTGTGATTTAATATTTTTTGCCGTGTTGAACAAAAAAATTATTTTAAGATTACTTTATTCTGTAGTGTAATACTTCTTTTGCCTTGTCTGTCATATAACTCCTTTATCACTGAATATCCGAACATTTTCGCGTACAGATTATTACACACTGGAAAATGTACGTGAAAAATTAAAAAATATTAGCCATAGATTACATTTACATCCGATAAACTCTTGTTGCAGAAGATATTTTTTACTTAGAATATGTAATTCTCGTTATCCTTTATTTTTTTAATTATGTAAAGCAACAAAATAAATTCAAGATTTTTTAATTTAGTACTATGAACAAGTTGCAGAACAACATATAATAATTCGTCTCTTCAACAGAAGTCAAAAGAAAATCACAAGGGGCCATGTTTCCTTAGCCACCCTAATTATATGAAGACGATATTTTGAACCTCAATTATCACTAACTTATTGGGATATCTATCGGTAAAATGAGTCACCTTAATTTCAAGGTAATCAGTGCTACATTATAGTGCAAGTTCTTGGTTGTAACATTGGTTGGCAGAATTTGTTCCTTTAAGCAGATTTCGTTGTATGCTGATCTTATTCATTCACTTGTTTATGATTTTATAGACATGGACATCCCTCATTATAGTATAAAGGCTCCCCGGTGTTTCTATTGAATTTCACTTAAATTATTTATCAGGGCAATTCTAAACAATGCTGATAAATATTATAACCGTAACAGGAATTTCTTATTGCGAAGATTAAAGATCTTAATGACCCTCCTAATTGAATACTTAAAACTCTTTAGTCATAAAAATATTATCTAATATCACCAAAATGCTGGAACACGATGAACATAAATGTTTCCAGCCATAAAAGTCTCACTTAAATGGTGTGCTAGAGCGAGTCCGCACTCGTTATAGATGAGGTCTACAACGGCCAGCTGGAAGTCGGAGTTCCTGAGGACGTGTCTGAGGTCCTGGTCGGACAAGAGGCGTTGGCAGAACGCAGACAGCGTTAGGAAACCGTCCAGTGGCAGCGCTGTAAATGATGTGCCACGCTGCCACATCAGTGCCATGGGCATTTGGAACCTGAAATGTTCAACACATTTTGTTGGTGCCGCTAATAATGGTCTTGGTATTCGACGCGCGAAAAACACGCGTCATCCCTTGTGAATCAAGTCACGAAAAGTTCAAGAATCGGCAACAGGCCATGGGCCTATTTCTTCAACGCCAACACTTCTATTCTATTCTATCATTTGGTTTGAATCAAAACCTCTATATTCACCCTTGGATCTGCTAGCGAACCAGAAATAATAATGTACTCTGCCTTATTGTTTTGATATGCCTTCTTAGCGCACTAAATGCATTCAAGGCACTAGAAAACAATCACGGTGTTACGCGTAGCGCAATGAGACAACTGTACTGCAACCTGCGCTGCGCACCACTTACTCCGCCGGGTTGTCGTGTGTCATCATGGGGATCTGTCCGTGAGTGTTGTCAATGGCGACGAAGAGTTCGGTAACGTTCCTTGCTGATAATGTCGGGATTTGACGGTCAAACGGCCTCACGATTGTAATCTGTCATTACAATGGAAGATTAGCACGGTTTCATTTCAAATAAAAGTATATAAATATTTGATAGCGAACAATTTTTTTCACATTTGGCCGATAGTTCGCTATTATATGCCATTCACGTGGGTGATTGAGGAAATGGCGGCAGGAAAGTGTTGATATCAGAGAAAATCTTTGGCAATCGAATACTTCCGGACACTAATTTCTTTTCTTATAATTTTTCGTTAAACTTTAAGTAAGAGTCCCACGGAACACGTGAAACCCATAGTGTTACATCTTCTGCTAAGTTTGGTTTCAAGCATTATGCTAATTTTCTTTAATACTCAAGTTCCATTGCCTGTTGCCACTGGTTGGTCTTAAAATGTTCCTCATTATAAAAAAAAACACGGCATACGTGGATTTGATGATAATCATGTGATTATTTACTGATGTTTCTCTCACTTGATGCCCTCGGTCTGCCATTTCGAGCACGAGGGTCCTGAGGGCGAGCACGTGTGAGGGCGAGTGCATGGGGTGCAGCACCAGCACGTTGCTCGAGGACGCCTCCTGCAGGGACAGAAGCATCCACACGACCACCATGCGCACCATCACGCACACTGCTTCGCCACAGGGTAAAATGTTGCGCTCATTGTACATTGTGAAGGTTCGAATATCATCAGGAAAACCCTGCGTACGAAAGAAGTACTAGTATAAAGGCCAGTTGATTTAAAATGGTTTACAACATTTTTATCAGTTCAACAACAAGAAGATGTCACACTATTCAGACGGAGACAATAATATCGGTTATTATTTTCCACAAATGAATATATTGTCGATTCGGAACATGTATATAAATTATCAAGTTAGCCCGGTGTTGCTCGGGAAAGATATTCACAGCAATTATAATCGTGAATCCCTTTGATACGAATGAAACTGAGATTTGACGAAGCTAAGACCCGTTTAAATTCACATTTTACGTGAAACATAGAACATAGAACTCTCATTTAACTGTCGTTTCAAAATAGGAGAAAACCAAAGTAAGTCTTCCAAATAATATTTCTACGTTTTAATTTAAAATTTAAATTTTTGATCCTATCCTTTCCTCCACTCTATTGCTATTCTACCACTAAATAAGAATTAAATTTCGGTGCAGGTAATATTCCAGCACGAGAAGTATCTTGAAACGCGCCCCTATACTTTGCTGGTCGTAGGCTTCAAACACACTCACAAAGTAGATATCTATAAGATTATATAAACCCGAATATAAATTTGGATCATGATCAACGTGCGTGGTTTAGAAAAGCTTTGCCTGGGTAGTCTTGAAAAACTTATTAGGGATTAAAAATTGGATTGGTAGAAGGACAGTTTATTGAGCGATGAATTATGCGACAGGCGTCGCAAAGTATGAAGAACGTCATAGCTCGGTATCTTCCCCGAATCCGGTAGCTGTGGCGGGGACCCCTGCCGCTGATGGGCAAGCAGTGGGTCAGTGCTCCCGTGGCAGTCCCAGGCAAAGTCTCAAGAGATCACCGCACCTAAATATACGACATAATTAAGCAGGAGAGAAAGTAAATTGGCAGTTAGACTTACAATGCTCTGTGCTTAGAGTTGCTTAAATATACCAAAGTTTTCAGAAATCTTTCTAACGATCTCCACAATATGGGATAACCGCAATATAGATTGAATTTAATGAAGGCTACTGTGATCATGTTTACTTCAAAGTAATTGACAACTCGAGAAGACTATTTGGCCAAGCAAATTAAACAGCATTTGAAAAGGCATTGAGGACACTGCACCAATAGTCGTCACGCCACCCACCACATGCTGTCGTCTGGAGTTCACGTGTTTGCACCGAAGAATGGGCACGGCCAGCGGCCCACGTCTCACGCCCAAGGCAGGAGGATGACGGGGGATGAGTCTAGTGGAGATGAAGCATCAACTGAAGTCCACAGTACAGCACAAGTGACGGACCGCTATAGACTTGCGAATCTTCACGACAAGAGGCCGAAGACAGTGCCTGCTGTTTCCGCTGTGCCTGGAATACTTTATTCTCCAGGTGAAATTGTGGTTTGAAACAGATGTGGTATGAAGTGGCACAACGACTCAGATGCAGTATACTGATGCAGTTAACTGATACGACATTCAGATTTGAGGCTCTAACTAAAGTGGAGATCGTCAAAAAATTCTGCATAAAGTTATGCAAATAATTTATAAATACTGTAAACTGTCCGTGAATTCAATTCCTCAACAGGTAGTGGCGAAGTCAAACGTGTTATGGAGGCTCGGTCCTAGACTCGGTGGACCGCTGAGCATCGTGTGCGAAGTCCACCGTTAATTGGAAAAGGTAGAATGAACTGATATTAATTATAATCGTTCGGTTAAATAATTCCGGAATCATTGTCTAGGCATGAGATTGAACATTTTTTTACTTATCACATCTTGCATGTTTTGCATGTCACATCTTGCAGGTTTAAATGACATTTAGATTAATTTTGAACTACTAATGCAATCTCAATGTAGAGCGTTCTAGCAGGAAGTTTCAACTAGAACCATAAAAAGGAAGTTCTTCAAAGCTCGTCTGTTAGTTTATTTGATAAATCATTTCAAGTAGATTACATAAGTTCTAGAATGTCAACTATGAATTTTGAATTTGTGATACGTGATATGAATATAATATTGGATATGTTGCAGCATTGGTACTCGAAGAGAACATTCATTCAACTAGCTTCTTAATCATGATGTGTATAAATAATTGCAAGCTAGTTCAATCCCAGGGAAATTTTATGCTCACGTTTTTTATAAGCTTTATTATTGAATTCTTTTTGCCATCTTTGTCGCAGCAAAGTGACATTGAATATTAATTGTAAACAACTAATTAATAAAAAATCTGAGAGGCAATTTCATATAAGATATTTTTAATGTATTACTGAATGTATTACTGTTTAATGTATTTACTGCGCAACAGATCTCAATTCTTTAATATAGAATATCCCATTAACGTGTGAGTGACACACAATGCCAACAATTGAGCGTAGTTCCGCTAGCGAACTGTCCGCATCCAGCGAGTCATTCCATCGTATACTCGTATACAGGGGCGGGAACTCGTTCCATTGTTCAAATACGTAAAGAGAAGTGATGTGTCACAAATTTGGCCCTGATCAGTGAACCTTATATGCATGAATTCTATCAGCACTGTCAGTTAAATTATATATGTATTATATAGATATAATTATAGTAAAAATATTCTTACATAAAAATAAAAATACAGAAGAACTTTTTAGTGCATTCGAAAAAGACCTGAGAAATATTTCTCGACAAAAATAGTAGGTATAGCAAAATTAGTCATTCCTGAAAACGTACACAGCAGAGAGTGCGCTAGAATTATCGCCATTCCAACGTGTCATTGTTTCTAATTATAGAACACGCGCACCAAGCCTGCACGTATTTTATTTTATTTATTTATTCTTATAGGAGCACTGGAAACTAGTCCATAAAGCCTGCACGTATTTTGATCCGTCCGCGGTGATCTGATGCCGTGGTCACGTCTCACTGGGGGCGTTTGACAATTTCGGCTAGTGAAGCGTAACGATAAACCGAAAGCGTGGAACTTTTGCTCAAAATTGGCTGAGGTTTTTCTATGACTGAAACGATAACAGATATTGCGCTCAGAAGCTCTAATAATAAAGGTTAATCCACAAAATTTGGTTCTGAATATGAATAGCTGTTAATTGAAATTAATTATTGTAGCGTTGTTCTTGTCTATGACTAAAACCAAATTAAAACAATGAATCGAAGCGGCAGTAGCATTTTATTCGATATGATTACTCACAATGTCAGAAAATTTAGGAATTTTAATTGTCATTTATTAATAATTACTTTTTGACTAACAAACATGCATCAATGCTAAAATGATGATTTGCCGTTTACATACGAAATGCTTCACTCTTAGATCATATACCGCAAGCTTAGACTTTCAAATACAAGATTGAGATATAACATAAAATACAATTCCCAGTAGAGTAACAAATGTGTGCAGTTTTTCATTCGAATAACTTTGCAGTTATTTGAAATATTCTAAAAATAAAAATATTCTATGATAATGAATAAAGATAAGTTTAGAAGTGATAGTTGAGTTTAATAATCCATGAGATATAGCATGTAAATAAAAGCATTAACTCATGGAAGGTGTAATAACATTTGAAATAGTGAAATCGCAGTTATAGATACGCATGGCACCCATTTGGAACTGAAAAGTGAATATATTTATTAAATCATCCAAACATGTCAACCCGTTCCCCAGCAGCAACGTGTATGCACATTTTTAGTAAATTATTACGCATGACAGAGTGTGATAATCTTCCGTGCCGAGGTTTAATTAAAAAGCAGTATCCACATGAAAGTTTTATTATTAACTTAATGGCGAACTAGCTAAGAGCTCAGGAGCGGCAACGATTGGGACTGGCCTCTTCTACGGTCGATTCCCTACAAGAAACTAAGTCTAGCTTAAGTTTAATAACTTAAATAATTGCACCTTATCTCAAAATAGAAATGAATTCTTGGGATTTACAAACAGATTATTCAACACTTGGAAACGCAGTAAAATTAAGTACACACCACCAGAACATACCTCTGCAGATGCTGAACTACGGACACATCCCTCCGTAACCCCAAGGCAAGTTGGCACCAAGTTCGCTACCTGCTACGGGATCGTCAAACCGCTCTAATCGCGTTAGATCGAACAATACGGTTTGCTCTTAGTCTTTATGCTGCTTTTAAGAACACTGAACAAAATATTCTGATTTGATCCTACATATTCCTACACAGAGGCAATAGTATTTGGAGAATAGGATTTGCATTTGTGGGATTTCAAAGACATTTAATGCAAGACTTGCTTTGACTGCTTGCAACAACGCACGCCTACCGACAGCAATTGTCTCGAGTTGTTCGCATGCATCCACATTTTATTTTCTATGTATATCATAATTACTGTTATTTATTCGTTAAAAATTACTAATAAATTTGGTTTTCATTTCTCTTCAAATTTGGTAAAAAAATTGTATAAAAAGTAATAAAATGTGGTAAAAATATTAATTATTGGTGGACGATTTGATTCGTTTGCGCCCACAAAGGTATTTTCTCACCAAAAAGTTGACTACAAAAGTTGACTACGAAAATTGGCAAGAAAATAATTAAAAACTGCTTTCATCACTAACATCATAAATAATTTATGGAACCAAAATTAAAATTTTTTCTTGAAAAGAAACCTTCACGTTAAGTGTGGCACAACCCACCGGTGGCTTGCCGTTTTTTTTCTGGGCAAATTCCGCAATTTAGTTTTTTTTCAATTGTGTTTGTGGACAAAATTTTATGATGGCAGTACTACCACCATGAATGTAAAATGTATGGAAAAAAGGAAAATATGATTTTTGCACAGGAACCTATAAATTAACTAGTATATCTTGAATTATAGGCCTTTTTTATCCATGGCCTTGGCCTTTTTTAGGCCATATGCCAGCGCTGGTGGGTTGTGCCGTGATTAAAGTGTTAACTAATAAAAAATTGTAGAGCATGAGGCTATACCAAGGTCATGTTCTAAACACAGACTATGAAACTTTTCCTCTCCATGCATCCCAAGCAAGCGTTTAACCGACTTTTCAATTATAGCCTCACAGTATCTCTACAGATAACAAGAAAATCTTTGTTCATCGCTCGCACAATATTCAGTTGACACATCACGAGCTTTGTCGCTCCGCCGACTGCGCGAAAATTTTCGCGCGACCGCTGCGGTGAACACGTTCGCTAGAACCAATTTTTAAAACAACATATGATTGATATTTTCTGAATATTTAGAACACTTCGCAGACGCTACAATAAAAGTTTATTTTAATAGATAAAACATGAACCGTTCATTTTAACTTGGTGTCTCAAATATTCGCAATTAATGAAGAGTTACTGATTCAATCGAAGGTAAGCATATAATGTAAGTAAGTTTTAAATTATTAATTGTATGTACCGTACGATGGTTTATTAAACTTGCATCCCACCCGGACACGTCTATCACTAAAATCAAGTTTGTTACGTTACAATATTACATCGACAGGAATATTTGATTTTGAAATTTCCTTATCTCACGCCAAAAATGCACATTTTGTTTTTTAATTATAGAGTTAATTATAAAACTGATGCGAGCTCCCGGTGTGGTTGTGGGCTTCAAAAGTAAAGCATTTCGCCAGCCCAGTGTCCGTGGTGAAGTCGTCGTCGGCAGTTTTCATGCTGGGCTTCATGGATACGAGGAGCAGCAGATACGTGAGGATCAACGTGCTCGTGCCCACAAATGTTCGCCCGTCCATTCTGTGTCAGGGCAAACTTGCATGAAATGGTAATATATATATATAAGTGAATATTAAAGTATGAAGTATGTGCTTGATGTAAGTGAACTTTATTTTTCAGTATTTAACAAAAATTAGTAGAAATTTCCTCTAAAAAGTAGTTCTTATGACTGAGCTATACGGAAAATTATTGAATGTCGTTAATGAACAAAAACACCAATGAATTTAACACCAATTTACCGAAATTCTTGGTTCATTGTGTAAAGTTAACATTGGTGTAGTGTTTTCGGCCTATTCCATGCCCTGCTTTAATTTCATTGATTACGATACCTAGAAGTAGATCAAACGTAAATAAATATTACATTCCAAAGCCGCTGGAGTGAACAGCCATCGGTTGAACACGTAGTCTGCCAGCGAGAGCTGAGAGGCGGGTAACAACTTCAGCTTGTTCGTGCGGGGTGCCCACTAGCTTGTCTACTATGCTTTCATAGAGGCAAACACCCTGAAGTTTAAAAGTATAAATTATCTTTTATTATTAAGTTACGCATATTGATTTGTAATCTACTCTGAAACACTTGAAATACTGTCTCCTTAAACAAAGTATTGACAAAATATCCATGTATAATAATTACAATGATCAGTGTAAACAATATATGAGGTGGATAACCTCATATTTGTTTTTTAATACTTACTCTTCTGTAAAGGCAATCTGCACGTTCACAGATCATATAGAAGCGAATGATGGACTCAAATAAAGACATTAAGAAGGGTATGAACTTGTCAAGACAATGCATGGGGTCCTGGAAGGAGAAGAGGGTGTAGAGGAGGCCTGTGCTCTGCATACCGAACAAGAATACGCGGTAGGTCTTGATCGGGCTGCTCAACTGAGAAAGAAAAACAGTAATTAATATCATGATTATTGTCGATAACTGCAATAAAATGAATATATTAATTTTCGTATTACATATTCCAAACACTTAGTTCAAAAGACTTAAGTAAATCCACACCAATCAGTTATTACTCACCTCATTAAATAAATCCAAAATATTCTGGATGAACAAATAATCTGCTGTAATGACATTCATAAAATCGACGTCAATTTTCTCACTGGCTGTAATTCTTTCAGTTAAGTCTACGAGGGCTTCCATTATTGCCTGCCCGAAGATGCTCATGTAAATGTCCAGGATGGTTGGGATCAGCATCGTGAGCAGCACGGGGGACAATATCATCCACATGCTCATGGGGACGACTGCGCACGCGGTGACCACGAAAATGCCGACGTAAAGAACAAAATAGAAGATTTTGAGTGTGATGTTGTACGTTCCACGGGTATTCAGCTTCACTATCTCACCTACGAAAATCTGGTGAATTTTGCGGTGTCTGGTCAAAGAGATGTAAATTAGGACGCTGTAAACTGAAGCGTACCAGAATGGCAAAGTCATAATGACGAACCACATGGGCCATCCGAAGTAGATTTTCATCGCAAGCGATTCACAGCTGGCAAAGATCGCTAGGGTAAGGATAAACACACGGGCACATGCCCTCATGTAGCAAATCAAAACCTCACCATTTGGGCGGATCTCAAAAATATGAAGACCGATAAGACTCACAAAACAAAAGGTTTTGTGGTAATATTCGTCGATGCGGACAACAGTTGAGGAACTTAGTCCTTCGAAAGTTGAGGGAAAGAGGACATCACTTTCATCTTCGTGTAAGTCATTCCGGATAAGTTCAACTGCGTTCATTTTCCTCAGGGATTGAAAGGACCGTACTCACAGGACCGTGCTGGCAGGAATCTGAATGTATCCGAGGCACTGACAATGAGATCAGTGAAGAGTGCAAACACTAGGACGTGCGCTGCGGATACATTAGCACCACGTATACATAGCGATAACGAACTAATCTCACAAGTCAATTGACTTTCCAGCGTCCATTATAAAGCCGTTCTGTATAGATTGCACAATATATTGATCATCGTCTTATCATCCTCTTTACCGGTAACAGCGCCCTTACCCAGTAATTTATTGGCGCCGGCATTACCTACGATCACACGCTAACCTCCAGTCCCATGTATCTCCAAACAGTGCAGTGATGAAGCCAGGAGAACCACTTTAGCGACGAAATTAAGGCCGCGAGTTGGCACCGAACCAACACTGAAGCCGGATTGCATACAGAACCAATATAGTGTTCATGCGGCGCTGTCAGCGATGACATACCGGTAGAAAATCTGTTATTTTGGTAGTTGCTTTATTACGGCAGTCTCATTTATTAACTATAAAGCAGCCCTGCCTGCGGTACCTGCTCACAGATAGTTTTATGTTCGACATTCTCAATTCAGACACACGTAAAAATATAATTTTTTTATCATGGAATTGAGCGTTATGTAATGATTTGTATCATATAATTCATATATAACAGCATTAATGTTTGAGGTGAATTACCTAAAATATTCACATAAGTTTCCAAAAAAAAATCATTTACACTCCACAAAAATTCTGCGTTGCAAATTCTGTTGGTTAACACGCACAATTGAGCTGCTGCTTCACACTCACCGCGACTTCAGGAATATTTGAGCGGACTTCATGACCTGCACCTTCACATTCTATCAATTTGTTCTTGAAAATTAAAGATCTTAGCGTAAATAATTTGTTCATTTGAACATTTTTAAATTAAACAAAAACCTGAAACTAAACGGAAACTAAACACTGAAACCTCTGAAGCTACACTATACACAAACCATTCACGATTAAATTCTCACACTGCGGAAAAAATTGGTTGTTTTCATTCAATTCTCCGAAGGGGCGGAATTTATATAGATTATAGAAGGTAGGATTGTTGACAAAATTCCATTGAAGTCTTTACGGTGGGCCCCCTCGAAAAATTTTTGCAGTCTGGAATTAATTTTTTTTATGTAAACATTTCATCTTCAGCTGAACTCAAATTTCGAAGAGAATGCGAAACTTTCTAAAATCAGACATTCTCGTATTCGACTGTCGAAATTGATGTCGAAGACACTCTCAGTCAGACATATTTGTTCCTAAAATCATTTCCATAAAGCATTCATTATAATCGTTACGTAAAATGGTTTTTTGAGTGTCCACTCGTGAGAGGAAATTTTCTGACCACCACTCCATGGCAGTATATCGCTTCTCACGTGACTGTGGGTTTATCTAGATTATTTTCCATTTGAATCCTTTGAAATAAGTTGTTACTTTTTTCGTAAATTGGAGAAATGATTACAGATTAAAACATTATCGTTGTATATGTAGAATTTGGATGCAGCACGATGCTTAAGGTCAGCTGTCATCTGCAAATTAATTAATTAATTAATTAAGTCTTGTCAATTAACGCTCGCCGCTGGTCTCCCAAACGTTTCCAATGAAAAAATTGTGTTTTACTTAGGATTTCTTTGCTGTAAAAGTCTTGACTATATTTAGGCAAGATAATGAAACAAATATAAATTTAATATTGCTAAAGATTATATTTATTTTGCCTACCCCATACAATGGTACAGAAGAAAAACTATATATCCTAACATCTGGCGATTGTTATGGCGCCTTCAGGAGTGAGAAGATTATTTTATGTTGTGAATAGATGTGAGCTTTCACTTGATGTACCCTTTAGAAGCAATGGAACTATCAAAGGAAATTAATTTTTCTCGAGTCTCACAATTGAATAATTATTCAGGCTGTAGGCTAAGTTGCATCAATAAGGAGATAAAATTTAGAAGATTACCTTATTATACATGTAAATATGGTCGTCATAGGAATAAACATATAAATCAGTGGTATTTGGAGACTTAGCCCGAACTCGAAGGCGAATAACAGCGATCAAAGTAGCTTAGTCCCTCGGGCCAAACAAAATCCTGGATTGAATACTGCGGTTGGAGCTGCAGCATCAGCACGAAGACCGAGATGACGATGTTCAGTTGTCGGGTCATGGAGCTGCTGCCCAACCTGCACACCCAGGCAAAAATTTGATTTTCTTGGACATCATCGGTTGTTAGTGATCATTTTTCGAAGCAGTTTGCACACTTTTTTTGTTATTTACTTCTAAATGGGCAATTATTTGTACTAGTTAATAAATTAACATTATTATTGGTGAGGAACATCTACCCACACACCTCTTCATACCCCAGACCTCAACCTCAGCAGGCTGCGCCTCCACTCTCGTCAGCAAAACCTGTAGCGGCTCTCGTACGTCATCCGTCAACATAGGACTATGTAAGATCTCTGATAGCGCGAACGCTAAGCCCATGTGCTGTAGAAAAATAGAACTTCAGATCTTAAACCTCACGCCTACATGATTGTTTTGCTTAACGCCTTTGGAAAACTATCATATACTTTAACGAAAGCAAAGCAATTGAACATGTCTTGGAAGTATGCGACACTGTATTCATAAATTAAACGCCTTCAAGTTGCAAGTAATTTTATAGGAAGTCATGGCCTATGGATAGTCTTGATCTTGATCTTTACACATCCTCAGGATCAACAAAAATGTTATATCGCCAATATATGATAAGTTTCGAGCAGAAACGGTGCCGGATACAGTAGAATTCATATGAATTTAGTAGAATACATAGTAGAATTCATATTTTATTTCAGCCATCTAAAGCTTAACATGCGAAAATTAAGTAATTTTTATCCAAACACACATTCAAGTAAAAATTAGAAAACTATGGTGCAACAATTTCTAAAATCAATAACAACGATTCCCTTTTTACTTGCTGAGTGAACTTGCCGAGTTATAGATGGCCTCTCCTGCTTTGCAAATTCGTGCGAGTCGCACCAAGAGTTCGATCATGAAGATGAGCGTGCAGACGAAAAGCGGAAGGCACTCGCTACTCTGCTGGTAGGTGGTGATTGTGACCAAGTAAGACATCATTTGCGCTGTGAAGAGAATCAAGCGCACGAACGTGGTTCTTCGGAAAATCTGCGAAAATAAGGTAAATTTTAAAATTTGAATGAAAAAGTAAAGGTACTAATAATAATGGGCAGGGTGCCCCAGTGGTTACAGTTCAGAGTACCAAGATTGGCGCAGAGAGGCGCGAAGCAGAATTTGAATCAGTACGTGAGTTGTGAGTTCGAGACCGCAACAAGCTGTGGATGTTCTACGATGTTAAGAATCGGCTACAGGCTTATGGCCTAATAAACGCTGAAACCGCTATTATTATTATTATTATTATTATTATTATTATTATTATTATTATTATTATTATTAAAACAAAATCACCTGATTAATTTTATTTTCATATTATTTCAACTCTATAATTGATTGGGTGAAATTATGAGTAACCTGCAATAAATTCAACAATTTACTAGAGCGTAATCACTGACCGAGTTGTGAAAGAATAGAAGTTTCTTCAGACTAATCCAATGAGTCGCAAGTTCTGTAACGTAGTCCTGAGACCACAAAGTCTGCGATCGAACTTGTTCCTCCAGAGTTTGATACCCGGCGTTGATAGACCAAATGAATATACTCAAGTACACGTCTTGTAACACTGGTAAGAAAGTGCTAAGAAACACCGACGGCATAGCGTAATATCTGAGGCTTTTCGGAAGCAGCATGCACAGAGGCACGGCAAGAACGCTCGTAATGAAAACCATGATTGCAAATTGAACCATAAATGAATTATACCGTTTCACTTTTATGACGCTTAGAGCTGCCAAATAACGCGCCATGCGGTGACGGTGATAGAGTGACGATAACGTCATTTGCAGAATATAAACGAACGCTAATATGGTCGGCAGGACCATCACAACGTACCAATATGGACACGTTTCTTTCGCGATAAACCAAACATAGATGCCAAATCCGCAAATTGCGTTTATGATGACTGCAATGCTGAAAAATACTCGGGTCCTGCTCGTTTTGAATTTTTTCTCTTCGTATTTATCGATGACATGAATTCCAAAAATTGCTGATAAATTGAACATGTACTGGAAAGAAGCAGAAATGTTCAAATGGTCTTTGTTGATATCGTTCCCCGGACGAATGCCAACATCTAACCAGCGAGGTCGACGACTTCGAGTTTTTGAGGCGTTTACCTTCCCACGGTTGTTCGGATTTTTGGGGCCGTTGTTACTCATGTTTCCTAAATCTACGAAGTACTTGGCACTACGCAACATGAACAATTTAAATGAAACAACAAATTCAGTCATTTTCTGACCACAAGTTGTTGCCAGCACACAAACCACTGAATATCCAGCAGGTAAACGACGAGTCGGACATCATACTGGAGTATCGACACCACAAGAGGCATACAGCTTATCTATTGCATCAACAATAAACAAGCTAATGCAGCAGCAGACAACTGCTGAAGAGCTGGATGGTGTAGAAGACTAATATGCGCGATGAATATACACGAGTTCTTCCTCGTCTCAGCCTCTCATGTGTCAATTTTAATTTTGTTACTTATTATATTCGGTTGTGTATTGTGAATATATTTACATTTGTAATACATGTTTTAATTTTCAGCAATTTGATAATATTTTAATGTTACTGTACATTTGATTAACATAACAAAACAGTGATGTCGGCGCTAAGGAGTAGGCCTGATGAGGCCTGTCGCCGATTCTTTTCCTTTTCGTGCCTTGTTCACAGAAGATCTAAAATCGTGTCATTTGACGGGATCTTTTCAAGACTGACGGTAATTTGAAATAGCTACCAAACATCCACCGGGTTCGATATGGTGCTAGGCATTTCAAGTCTGAACACATATTTACCATTATCTAGTCTGTTCTTGAACGCGTTCATACTCGGAGCGCCTTTATCTGTCACTATCAGTGCATGAAACACTAGTTCATAGGTGCAAAATCTAAATTAAATCTGGTCAAAGTGACAAAAGTGATCTATTGACGCGTTTCAAATAATTATTAAGTTTTTATGCGTTGAAATGTTACCTAAGATGATTGAATGCCTACAAGGTTTGTAATAATTATTCTGTCAGCTAAATTTTCAACGTGTCATTGTCGATATGTATTATGTATTAAAATCACTGATATGTAATATTAATCGATATGTATTAGTAATGTTAATGTTGATATGTATTAACGTAACGTAATGTTGTCGATATGTATTAACATTACTGAATTTGCTTAAGAACCTCTAATAACACTTAAGTATCCGCCCATAGACAGACGAAATTAATTTTTTTGTGCAATTTAAAAGGCTACTTTTGGATCAACAACCTTCATGGTTGTGTATTCCTCCAGTGGGCAAAGCCAACACCATCATACGTGGTAATGAGTTAGCTGATCACGCTAATAACTTAGGCAAGGTACTTATGGCTTCTACCATGCAGTTGAGTAATCTGATATTCTTCGCTGATTTTTCATTAGTTTTTGTCTCAGTAAAAGGATGATTGGTCTCCCATTGTATGTGAGCATGAATGGAGAAAAGATTACTTGTTAGGTCTGGTCCGTGAATTATTGTGCTGGCCCGTCTTCGTGTAGAGCACGCGGGGAAAACTTCTATCTGTACTAATAGTCTACAGATCCATGTCTGATTAATCATTGTAGAACGCTTGAATTGTTGAGTAATCAAACGAAAAATTCTTGAATACCTGAGGCCGCATAAATGATGCGTGTCAACTTATGAGAAGGAGTCTACACAGCATAAGCATACGGACACCGACAATGCGTCCATTGCAGAGTATTGACGACCAAGAAAAACAGAGATAACATTTTGAAGTCATTAATCATCGTTCGCACAAGTATTGACCGAATGATGTAATGGGCAGCTTGAAACCAGGAGTTTAATTGAAATACGTTCGAAACTGATAACGCTCTGGAAAGTATAAAAAGAAAACTACCAATAATTGCCACAGTCAGATGCGACGAGTGACCGAGTGACCTGTGTAATGTCATTTACAACAACTCCGAGAAGTTATCATCGTAATCAATTTTCACTGATATATGCAATATGCTATCAGAGATGAGTGGCCCAGTGGTTACAGTTTATAATACCAAGGTTCGATCAGTGGGTTGAGGGTTCGAAACCTTAACACGCTGAAATAATTCCATGAGGTCTTGAGTCCTCAACACGTGAGATTTGGCCTATTAAACAATGAAACCACAATTGAATTGAAGTAAATTTTTACATCATTTGATAGTTATTCTAAATTTTCCATACATCTATCAATTATTTCAAGTTATGTTATGTCCATACCCACCACCCGACTCTCTGAAAAATAACTGAACTTACATAATTGTACAGTTTATGAAAGTTTTTGAATAAATAACAAGTCATCGTTCATAGCTGTTTTGTTTCATGGTCATAGCATGTTTTGTTTATTTTTAAGCAAATCATTGAAATCGGCTGCGACTGACAGTGGCGGATAGGTCGCGACGTCCGGATAGTCGTAAAATCGTAGGCATGCAAAATAGAAGCAAGTCATAATTTAAAAAATAAATTCTGAAGAGAATATAATCCTCTTAGAATTTGTTTAAATTGGTAATGAAAATAAAGTAAACTTTTGCAAACATGTTTCCTGCTGCTTTTTGGTGAGTAATGCCTAAGTTAATTGTTGTAATGATCATCGTAGACTCGTAGTAGTATTAGCCTTATACCCTTATGCCTTATTGCCAACCCTTATGCCTTATTCCCATAATCTGAATAGGTATGGATCTAGCCTAGGTGTACTAAAAAAAGTTACACTGCAGTTGTTTCCCCACACTCGGAGTCTGAGACTAGGCTAAAACACAAACTAGTGTAACTGTGTAAAAACTAGAAAATTGAATATTTTGATATGGATAATATTGAAATTTTGCTGCAAATTTTTATATTGAAAAATATGCATTTAAAATCATTTGGCTACCTACCTACTTCAACTTGAGTTGTGAGGCTGAGGGAACTGGGAAGTGATGTTTCCTTGTCACTTTTTTTAGTGTGTACTGTGTAGTGCCTATTTCAGTATTTGGAATATTAAGCAGAAGTTTCCTAAAATGAAGGATAAAAGCAATGAGTGTCGAGTGATTTTGAAATTGCCATTGAATTTGAATATAGACCATATTTCTTATTTTTTACTAAAGAAATGAGGAAATGGTCATTGAAACAGGTAAAATTGACGAGATTCACAGCTTTTTTTTGTCTGATTCATTGGTGGCCTCAGCATGAGACATATAGGCAATAGAGAGTAGGGCTGTGGGAGTGGGAGCCATTTAAAGTTAGAAGCCAGGAATTTACATTTTTGGGCTCAATTAACACAGGGCTGGAAAAGTCCTTTTTTTTCTGAAATATTGCAGCTCTAATATCATATAATTTCAGTAGATATGAAATCTTGTGGCTTGCATGTCATAAATTTTTGTTTGATTGAAAAATCGCGGTTTGTACTTCGCAAATATGTCATTTCATAAAATTTTTAACTTCAGCAATCCGCATTGCTTTACCGTTCCTGCCAAAATATCCTGCAGAAAAAACGTAAACATTGTAGGGTAAACAAATCAACTAAACGATTTGTTGAAGATCATGCATAGTTGCGGTCTTGTCAAAGTGGTCAGACTGCATTAACATGTGTTCAACTTACAGTAAAGACCAAACTCACCAAAGACAAAAGATATTGTTGCTGTTTGATTATTTTAGGGTAAAATTAGAGATTTGGGGTAACACATGCAATCATGCATGGACTTTGTAAATAAATTTGCACTTTGTAAATGGCTTTTCATGGCCAAGATATTGAATTCACTGCTCAAAGAAATAAATCACGGCTGGCAAATCCATAAAACCAGGGCCAAAAAATTCAGTCACGGCTTGCCAAGTAGATATATTCCATGCCTGAATTAACAAAGGTGCTCAACTCAATTATTGTGACAGGCCATAGTATCTTTCGTGAAAATTAACTTGTCATCTGAGAATAATTGCAAAAATTTGCATTACAAAACTTGTTCTCTGTCTCTGATATGGTTTGAACTTCTTCTGTCAACTCTCAAACCCAGTAACTACCTATATTGTAAAAAAATGTACAAATGTTTTCCAATCCAACCAATTTGTTACAGGTTACACAGTTACACTTGTAGTTTCTAAGTAGAAAATGGAGATGCGAGTTGACCAATGAGAATACGCAATAAAAAAATTAATGAAATCCCAACCAGGATGATTGTGCAGAATTTTCCAGATATCATAAGTAAAGAGATCATTTTTCTTGTGCCTACTGAAAAATGTTGACAAAAATTTGCATTTTTTACTAACTTGTATCAAAAAAAGTTGTCAAAATCAGAGAAATGAACTATGGATGATATTAAAGCATAGGCATTTTCTTCTCATTTACAGGTGGCTGGTGGCTTCTGACTGATTTTTCAATTTGCATTTCTATGTTTTTGTATTGCAACTGCCACAAAAAGCTACTTCAATCCAAGCTCCTAACACCTCCATGCAGGAAGTGCTCAAACATTCCAAGATCATTGAAGATAAATCAGCATCAAAATTTGTGTTATAAAATGATAAACATATGCCTCTAAATATCTCTCCTTCTCCCTCTTACATACTTGTGATGTTGTGGGCCTACAAATTTAACCTTGACAACACAATGCAAAAACACTGCAATGTGGTTCAAGCAGAAATATGTCACATGAATTAAGAGAGAAATATAATCTTCATTATTTTTGTAATCTGTTTTATTAAAAATTTTGGCCTTAAATGCATCAAAAGTAAGCACCAGTTATGGCATTTATCTTTCATGCACATAAAAGGTGTAACTCATTGAGCAAGCTTGAGCCATTTGAGTCACCATTCCATTAAAAAAATCAAGAAATATTTGTATTTGTTATAGGTACACAATTTACTTACCATGAATGCTATCTATAATTATTCTTGAATGTTTTCAATTTAAGAATAAAGACAAAAATCCTATATTATGATTCACTGAATACAAAAAAAAAATTAAATTTATTTGCATAGTCACAGCTTTTTATTATTAGGTTCAATATTATCATGCTATGTTTGCCAAGACTGCCATGGGACTTGGTGTTCTATACCATGGGATGAAATTATTCTACCAATGAAATTATTCTACTATAAGCTCTCAGAGCCTATCTTTAAACAATCTGGGTATGGCTGGTTTAATGCCAAAATATTTTCCTTTACAAGCTATGGCTGGATTTTTATTTCTAAGTTTATCCAGTTAATTGATTTAGTCAATGACAGGACAGGAACATTCTGCCTGAAGTTACCCGTAAATGAGCCAAAACTGCCAGTGCCAATGAACTGAATTGGTAATCCTTATCTCTCTAGTGACTTTCTTGGTTCCTATGCCACAATTTTTGGTCAATTTTAAAATCTTGATGCTCTTGGCTTGGCTAATGAGGGTTGGCTAATGAGGGTTGAACTGAAAAATTAGGACAAGCCTCTTTCTTATGGTAATAATTATGGCATCCTACTTAGATAAATTAATTTTTTTAACTTTTTCTGAGAGTGATTGTTATTGCTACTGATTTGCTCGAGTTCATCGTGATTTTTCTTATGTCATTTTTCTCTACAGGGATGTGAAGCAAAAGGAGTCAACGGGAAGACTCCCTCTGAGCCGAGGAATGAAATGGCAGCGCATTGAGGACGTTCCCAATGCTGACCAGGAGGCTGTGGTTCGATATGTCATCAAAGACAAGCTCATAGGGAAGCCTGTCTTCAAAAGAGTGTTGGTTTACTTTGAATTTTATTTTTAACTTAATCAAACAGTTCTGTGCCATGGCGCCATGGAGATAATTCTGATACCTAGATTAATCGTTTTTCAATAAAATGAAGGATTTTTCAATAAAATGAAGGCATAAACAAAATTGAATCTAACTATTCTTATATGTGGGAAAGATAAATTTTGAAGGCATCATATGCTTGGAGAAAAGTTGTTACCTATCAGTCAAGTGTTTGGTAGATCTAAAAACATTTGTTAATATCTTCTTCCTAATTTTTACCAAGGAAATTTTATTTTTGCTGTGCATCTGCATTTAAATTCATAAAACTATGCGTTGTAAGAAAATTTAAAATGTTGATTTACTTTGCTTGATGCTTTAAAAAACTGTAGCCAATTGGGTTGCCATACCTAGTTCTTTTACCTGTGTTTTTTTTTACTATTCTTCATTTTGCAGCAATTATTGTTAGATTGTGCTAACCTAATTTACAAAATTTCTCTGTCATTATTAAACACATTTATTTCAAGTTCAATTTTTTTTATTTTGAATTGTCTCTTTTGAAACAATGTTCAACTAATAGTCTGTCCAAGATACCTTTGAATCTTAAATTCCTGTTCAACTTACCGTAATTATAAAAAATTCAAATTACTTAGTGATGTACTTTAATGTCCATTTGCAGATTATGATTTTTCATATAAATTAGTAATCAACCTATTAACGTGCTTAAGAATGTATGTATTCATTGCAGAGATCTTGTAACCCATGGAAAAGTGGTCTTCTTTGCTCAATCATCAACCCAGGTCAAGTCTGAGAATTCTATGCTGCCAAGTATTTTGCCAGTAAACTATAGAAATATTTCCCATGACCTCAAAACCTCCTCCAAAGAAGCTTCACTTTCTAAAAAAAGTTCTTCCAAACATAACAATGGATACGTTTCTTCTGTATCAACAAATGACAGCACCCAGATTGCAACTGCTCATGAGGCATCTTTCCCTTCCATGTCGACTATTTCAGTCGATTGTCTCGTCCAGATCTTGATAGAATTCAATGGCATCAAGAGAGGCCTGGACACAATGTGGCGTCATATGGGAGTTGAGACCAACAGAGGTCTATGTTTGTATCCTGAGGAAGCCATGTTCCTCATGCAATCAGTAAGTTTTAACTGAAAAAAGTACTATTGAAATTTGTTCTTAATTTTTTTTCATAATCATGCCAAGAAATACCTACTTCATGGTAAATTTTAACTGAAAAAAAAACTTTGTTCATAACACGTATTTTAGATTCCACATCTTTAAATGGAAATTTTTACAGGGAGAATTTCAAGCGTTATCTCCAGGTCTACATCGACTAAGCGTGCAGCATTTGTTAACTCTGAGCAAGTCACCATACTGCCTCTTCAGGGTCTACTGCAAACTCAGCGGCTTTGCCCTCAAACCTGTTCGACATCAGCCCCATGTAGGATTTACAGGTACAAAGTGTCTCGGTAATCCTCAATAGTACTTTCAAATCCTTACCTGAACAAATCACCACTATTAATTTTCACACAAGCTAAGATTTAAAATCAATTTCATAATGAGTTGTAATTTTTTTTCATCTATAGATTATGAGCGCAAAATCAAGCTTGATCAGCATAGCAGTTCCTCCAAAGCCATATCCAAGAAGAAGTCTCTCAAGCACAAAGAATTAATGGGCCCTCCTGCATCTGTAGAAAACCATATTCCTCCTGAAGTTTCTACTCCAGTAGACGTGATCGCTGCATGCAAGCTGGAGCCGTCAACTAGTCCTGTTACCGACGACTTACTGGATAAGGAAATGATGGAATTTTACTCTAGTCTAGGCGCCGAGTTCAAGGCCGAAGTTCAATTCAAAGAAGACAAAGAGGATGAAAATAGTTTGCCTGAGGTAGCTGAATTAAGTGAAGAATGGCTTCTCGAGTACGAAGAGAGCAAACAAAATATATTGAAGGGTCTTGCCTCTATGGACCCATACTCAAAGATATGTACTATTAGAAAAGATGATAATTTTCTCCCTAGGTCATTCAAAGTACTTACTAAGGATTACGTTTTGCATGTTGACGATTTATACAGCTCTTATAATGTACGAAGACATTTTCCACCTCAAAGTTCTAAATCTACCAAGAATCAAAATTTTGATTACCATAATTGGAACCTGCAGACAACTACACAATTTGACAGTGATAGCGAAAAATCTGAGATACTTGATAGTGACATAGAAACGAGCAGTTCAAGTGACAGTGAAAGTGTGAGTTCTCTGTCTGACACCGAAGATGTGAGTTACCAAGGCTGGTATATAGACTGGAACAACATTGTTTACATGAAACGCGTCATTGGTGACGAGGAAGTTACGATAAAAGAATGTCCTAAAAAAAATTCCACAAGCAAGCGAAGCTTATCTTCTAGTGAAGATTCTTCAAGTGATGATGAAAAAAGGAGCAAAATTGCAAAATTTGAAAAGTCGACACCCAACTCGTTTGCATGTGCCACTAGAAATGAATCTAGACATGACGCCAGTGTAGTCTCTAATGACTGTGATATTTCTCAGACTAAACACATGAATTACGATGTACCTGATATACCTCGAACTGTACCTATACCTTCAAAAAGTTCTCCGTCAAGTCATCAATCAGATGATTCTAGTAGCTCTGACTCTACTAGTATTGCAAGTAGCAGTAGTAGTGGTTCTAGTAACGATGAAAACTTACCGTCTCCACGCACACCTTCATTAGTTAATCAAAACACAAGCAAAAGTGTTCTACCTCCTGAAAATGCTCAGGAGAAAGCAGAATTTTCCAGAGCAGCAGAAAAATTCTTAATGGATTTTGGCAAATCTCTAGAAGAACAAGGTTGCCTTATTCCTTGCTTAGAAAAGCTACCTCCCACACGATGTTCTTTGGAGGCTGAGAAAATGTTGCCCAACGGGATCGATGCATCTTACGGTAATAGAGAGATACAGAATCCTTCTGGTAGTTCATTTACATCTTCGCCTTGCCCTCCTTTGCAACAATATTCTAATTCAGAGAATAATTATGTCGACCCGGCAGTTGATTCAGTTTTGTCGCTTATAGCTTCTGTTAAAAATAAAACGGACTGCGCTAATAAGCAGTCTAAGAGTTTGTCTGACCCTCCAGTTCTGGCGCCCATATCCAATCCTCCAAAAAGATTACAAGAAAGTCCAAGTCATTTACATTCCCTTGTTGCGAGTAAAGTCTCACCACCTATTCGTCCTAAAGAAATAAATGCAAGCCCGTTACATTCCTTTCAAAAAGAACCAACGAGCAGCCATCCGATTGCGGGTCAACTAATGAGAGAGGCGCCACCTGCGAGATCTAAAGGTTTTGTCAATAAGTGCGACACAAGCCCGTCTGCTCGCCTCACTCGCACGATGATAAACAATAGCTGGCGACTACGAGTGAAGGCTCAACTGACCAGCTCGGAGGGCGCAACCCGAGAAATATGCAGTGTGCCTAGCCTGGCGGAGAGACTGGAGGAGGAACAAGCTGTTGAGGATGACCTAAGAACTTCGTTGGCACTGAAGAAACACTTGCCTTATCGTCGTACTGATTCTTTGGAAGATAACTATGCAGATGACTGCGGTGTAGAATCTCCCTCATCTTTTACGAATAAGAAAAGGAAGAAAAGATTATCTGGCCGAGTACGTGGTAGCGGTAGGAGTGAAAGCAATACGTGTGTAGGATCCAGCGCAGGCAATGTTGTTGATATGTCGCCTAACGGTCTATTACGTGTGAGTATCATGAACAATCACATCGCAAAAGGAAATATCACGAATACCTTGCTAAATCGTTTGGATGATGAAAACTTAGAGTTCATGCGCACAAGTTCAGCATTTCGCGAAAATGACCTAAATGACACCAGCTTTCGCGGCGACAATCGCAGGACTGGTGTGTTTATTAACCCTAGTGTTCTTGCCAAAGGTAGAATGGCTCCAACAAAAAATCTTGCAGACGTTCGTGCAAAATATGAGAGCAATGCCAGAGATCAAGCACACATTGACATGGAAGGATTAACAAGCGTTAAAGAACCAAATAATTGTCTGCCAGCAAGAACATTTGAAAATAATAAGGTATCATCTCGTCAGAGTATAAAGTGTTCGTTGAGCAATCGTCTTAACGAGAAATATTGTGAGCCTAATTCGTCCACTCGGTGCATAGATTATTCACATACCGAGTTCGATAATGGTGAGCCTCGAGATGGTCAGATTTGGCAAGATCGCCATGATCCAGTGAAAGAGTTGGGCCTTCCAGAGGATGTTCCTGACATGCCAGACCGCCACAGCCAAACTGGACTGATCCGACACGGGCGAGATGGTTTCCAGTGTCGAGGTCGAGGAAATGATCTTCATCTCTCTAGGCGAGAAAATCAAGCTCAATTTCACGGGCGAGAGGATGATCTCGAATTTAGCGAGCGTGGAAATGATTTCCAGTTGCGCTGGCGCGGGGATGATTTCCCATTGCGCGGGCGTGGAAATGATTTCCATTTCCAGGGGCTTGGACATCAACAAAATAGTTCATTTCATGGGCGAGGAAACAATAGCCAATTGCGTGGGTGCGGAAACTATGCCCTGGTTGAGGGGCGTCTCATGGATTATTCGTTTCGTGGTCAAGGAACCGAACGATCTTCCTGGAGACACGACCGAGACGTCACAAGTGGAAACAGTCCACGTGGTATAGATGGCCAGCGTAGCAATGGCCGCGGTCACTGCAACGAATTCAGTCGTAATACTTCCGATGAGGAGGATATCGAGCGTAGTGGGTATCAAGGAAATGATTCCGCTTCGGCCCAAGCCAGATCAAATCAAACCACTACCGACTGCCACGGCGATGGTAAAGATGTTCTTGATTTCAGATACGATGAGCTACGCGACAGCTACCACAGCTTCAGTTCTGCAATTCGTGCTCAAGCTGAAGGAGGTAATCGTGACTCTATAGGTAATCTCATTGATTATAGCAGTGCTGGGGGTGGCAAAATTAAGAATATGAATACAGTTGACGGCCGTGGTGGTTACAACAACGCAGTGGATGGACGTGATGGTTGCAACAACACGGTTGGCGGTCGTGGTAAGTATAGAAATATTGTTGGTGGTCGCGGTGGTTGCGGAAACGCTTTTGATGGCTGGAGTGGTTACGGAAACGCTGTTCACGGTCGTGGTGGTTACAACAACACTGTCAATGGCCGGGTTGATTACAGCAACGCTGTTCATGGTCTTGATAGTTACGGGAAAGCTATCAACGAACGTAACAGCAACTTCAATTCTAAAGGCATCGATTGCGATAACGATGGCCGCGGTGGATATGGCAACGCTTTCGACGGCCGTGGTAATTACGGAAACTCTGTTGATGACCGCAAGGATCGTGGTAACTTGGAAGCGAGAGGCGCAAGTAGCTTCAAAAATGTCAGCAGTAGCTCGCGAGATGGGCGCCCCTACAGCACCTTGAGACACGGCAACACCGAGGGTTACGGCAGCAACACCGAAGGGCGCGGCAGCAGCACCGACCGTCCTGACATCACCTTGGGGCACGACAACAACACCACGGGACACGGCAAAAACACTGTGGGACAAATCGACAACCGGGACCACGGCAGCAGCACCGCGGCGCGCGGCAATGCCAGACAGCAACAGCGGCATCAGCAGCAGCGCTACAGGCAGGCCTTCCGAGCCCAGGAGAGCGCGCTCGACCAGGTAATTTTCCCTTTTTTTAACTTAGTTATCATTCTAAATATTTCCTTATTTTCATGGACTAAAAATGGGGTCTTTTCCATAACATTATATGATCTAATATAGTAGTTTCCATTCTAAAAATTTTTTTTATTTTTATAGACTGAAAATGGGGTATTTTTCATTACATTATATGATCTAATATAGTTAACGAATACCATGTAGCTGCCTTTTTTTAGATTTGATATCACTCTACTCACTTGGTATTGTTAATACTCTTCATTTTCGTCTGCAGACTTTAAAGCTCTAGATTCGAATTGTGTACAAAATTCAATCCTAGAATACCTGAGCACCGTCTACAAATTAATTCAAAAGTTAATATAGATGATAGAATATTTTATTTTTCCCAACTATAATCGTGGAACTAATAGCCATTATCCATGTATATGGTATAGAATAAAAAGCATTGTCAAGTAGGAAATTAATTTAATTCTACCATAATTAGAAAAGTTTTAATTTTTGTGAACATTTACAGCGCGTGGTGAGCTCAGTGAAGACCTGGCGTCAGTACCGTCGCGCCGTGGAGGAGCTGGCGCGCGAGGCCTTACGAAGGGCGCCGTCCTGCCAGATCCTCTTCAGCGGGCCCACCAAGCCGCTGCTGGGGCCTGGGCCTCCTGCAGAGGGGCGTCGTCCTATTAGTCAGTCGTTGCAGGGGGATATTGTGTGATAAAATGAAAAAATGGGACCAGCTAAAAATTTTAAGTATTCTCTTCCTATTAGTCAGTCGCTGCACTTCTAAGAAATACAGGGGAAAATTTTGTTATAAAACATAAAAAAGGGATCAATTAAAATTTTAAATATGATTGAAAATCTTCAATTAGAACGGGTTTAAATAAATTGTGCATTAACTCATTACAATAAATGTATTATTTCAGGTATTTATGCGATTGTATTTCATCATTTTTAGCGGTTAGGTTAACGTCTGCACCGTCCGTAGGAGAAGGGCTAAATATTGCTGTGAAATACAGACCCTTCTTAATATTAATTTTGACAAACGGGTGAAATGCTTGTGTATAAATAGCGAGTATTCATCATAGTGTTTTTTATCTCTGTAACTGAACATTTTCACTCACTGCAGAAAAAGTGCAGGAGGCTCTGCAGTGCTCGGAAGCGCCTCTGCTGGCCGAGTGGCTACAGCAGCAGAACCCCACAGCAGGATCAACCAGGGCTTCCTCTCTTAAGGTTCTAGCTTATGCAACATTAATTATTTATTACCAAAATTAAAATTTGTAGTCATTAGTCGCTCTGTATAGTGGATTTTTTAGCGTGTTCAATCCCTGACATGAGTTTAGGTAGATGGTTTTAGCACGAATTAGATGATTTTCATGGTCACGTAGATGACCATGGTTTTCGTGGTCACGTAGTTGACCATGGTTTTCATGGTCACGAGTTTGCATTGATGTCCGAGTGCGCAATTGTGTTAGTATCCGTGATACTCGACACGGCAGTCATTGAGAAGAAACGACTGGCGACCACATTTACGTTGTCCTGGTATTTTTGGCGCTCATTAACCTATTTTAAAATGAGGTTGCTCTGGAGTGTTCGTGTCTGAATTATCACGAAGGCAGGCTGCTCATGCTGTGTAGGCAGGCTGCTCATGCTGTGTAGGCAGCCTGCTCATGCTGTGTAGGCATCCTGCTCATGCTGTGCAGGCAGGCTGCTCATGCTGTGCAGGCAGGCTGCTCATGCTGTGTAGGCAGCCTGCTCATGCTGATATCTGCGCAGGTCGCACTGGATGTCTACGGCGCAGGCAGCGGCTACGGACGCAGCAAGCAACTCTCGCCGAGTCTGCGCGTCGTCTTGCCCATGTACGTCTTCCAAATTTTGATACTTGTAATATTATTTCGAAAAGTTCAATATTATAATAAAGTTATTAAATGACATATGATGATGCATATAACCTTCTGCATGTGCATTTTTGATCGAAGTCAGCATAACTAAAGCTGAAGCAAAGTCGTGATGTTTATTCATATTTTTTAATTAAATTGTCAACTTTTATATACTTACATATTTATTCAATTATTTCGTGCCTTATTTGTTATCTATTCACTCTTATGGTAATTTGTTGATATTTCTTTTATTTGTATAGATTTTCAATTAATCCAATTATAATCAATCAATTATAATTGGATTATAATCCAATTTCAATTAATAGAATTAATTCAATTATAGATTAATACAGGGTGTTTCAGAATTAAGTAACCCTTTTAATTTGTTAATAAATAAAAAACTAAGAACGTTATGAAGTTGAAACTTGTATTAAGTAATAATTTAGCGATTTTATTGCTGTTCCATCAACCACAGGACACGATTAGGCTGCTATATTATTTGTGCATATAATCACGTCTAGCAAGTGATTATTAACTAGAGTGATTGCAATAAGTAACGATACGTAACGATAATGTAATAAGGATATTTTACTAATTATTGTGTTGATGATGACAGGCACGAGGAAGACTTCAGCCTGCTGCAGATGCTGAGACTGCGGCGTCACCACGCGGACGCTCCTCTCGCCCTCGCCACCTACGCTTCGTCCCCCGCCCGCCCCAGGCTTGTCAACTTCCCCTCGTGCGAGGGACGTGCCAGGCTTTTACCCTCTATGGACGACGTGCAGCCCTCAAAAACAAAGAACAAGAGGTTATCTACCTCGGTAGATAAAGATACGAAACCTGGTTTAGATGTGGCAAATCCAAGCCCTGTTGAGGGAAGCCATACTACTCTACCCTCAGTTATGGCCGAGGGTAAATAATTTCCCTCGGTCAAATAGAACGTAAAACCCTCATTGGTCGCGGATAGATCACTTTTCCCTCAATTGAAGTGGGTTCAAAAGATTTCCACTTGACAGTGAAAATATCCAACTTCACGAAATGTGTTAAAATAGTTCGCGTGAAACATTAGTTTTCATAGTATGGGTTGAATTGTTCACGCATAACGTCCATCTTTATAAAATTGGTTGTTGTAGAAGTTGATTCAATTTCTTGGGAAATTCAGATCATTAATGCACCCTGATTTGCGTAGTGTGGGTTACCGACTTCCGCCGTTGGCTGTGATTAGCAAATTAGTAAGAAACGAGTCTGATTCATCGTCTGACTCATCTCGTGCATTTGTTGAATAGTCGTTAGAGGTTGGGTGCTTACATAATCATTTAGAAATCGCTTTACCCTGTGGGAATGCAACGTAATTTTCGATTAAAATTAGAATTGCCTGTTTAATTCCATGATATACATTTTCGCTCATGTTTGAACATTTGTAGCATCACATTCGTTCTCATTTATCTCATGCTAGTCGTTTGTGTTAGGATTTATCCTAATTTAAGTTGTCCCCTTGCCTTTACAAATACGTATTACCACCGATACAATTGAATCAAAGTGCAGATGAAGACGAGCTTAATCCTTCATTACGTTTTTATGCAGCTTGTGTCTACTGAATTTTCTCTTACATATTCTGAAGTCATGTTCTAAATGCATTCCGTGCTCTCGCACAGACATTAGTTAAATTTCGTCTTTGTTTATTGACCATGATACGTTTGAAAAAATGTTTTGGCTTGTATAATCTGTTTTCATTTAATCTTTTAATAAATATATCCTGTTCTCTAATCTAAATANAGTAAAGGAGTGACGTGAACATTCGTATAAATTTAGATCAAGGTTATCGAGTATCTGCGTAATATAGCCGTTGTAATACAGCTGTTCTCGTTCAAATTACAATGCTGATATTACTATCTAAATTGCAGTTGTAGAGAGTCAACCGGAATTATAGTGAAGTGGAACCTGTCGAGGGAGCAAAAGTAAGGGCGGCTCTCGTCTGCAACTCGATTCGATATCGTTTCTTGTTACACTGCGTTCAAAATTTTCAATTTCTGTGCATCGCGACATATTCTGCTTCTGTATGCTTCTGAAATGTCAACTGCATTGAGATTTGGTCGATTGTTATACTTGAAAAGGAAAAACCTTGAAGTGTTATATGTGTTATAAGTATTGTATGTTTACAGGTCAATTGCTACATACATCAATTTACCATTATTAGAAACCCCCATGCAATTGTAATTTATGATAGAGCAACACATTTGTCCTGAGCGCATCCTGTTTTGATGGGTGATTTAATTTTTGTTCTCGTTTATGGAAGCTAATTTTGTTGAAAAAAATACATTAAGTTTATCACCAAATAAGGGCATCAAATACTCACTGTGCTCCCAAATACTAACGTAACAGGAGCAGGCAAAACGCATAGGGCTTCCTTAAACCGACCTTAGACGGTGAGCTCTTATCGCAGATAACAGACGCGTCTTATCTTATCTTCAAGCGACGTTCAGTTCGTGAAGTCATCACAATTTGAAGACGCAGCAATCGCAGTTTGAAGTCTTTTCTTATGGTGAAAGTACAGGTATTACGTCGTTCCTGCGAATCGCAATAACCTTTATTTGAAATATTAATCGTTGACGGCGCATTATAGTGTTGAAGCCTTCTTGAACATCTTGAGTAATGGCTCTGCTGAGAATCTGTTGTATTTTTATTTATGAAACATTGACATTAATAAATCACTCAATCATCTCAAATCATCAGGACGAGAAAGTTAACGAGATATTCCCTGCAAATTTTGGTTAACTACTACCTATGGTGAAATCCTTCAAATGCCTTTAATTTCTTCTGTGCCCCTGTCGAACAGGCTATAGAGGTAACTCAGCTTGAGAGGTTCAATACACGAGATGAATTTCATTCCGATGAAGTGGATTCAACCTGTAAAGTAAAAAGCCCTTATCAAAGTCATTCTTTTTGAGCATGAAGCTGAATCATACAAAAAATTATCACATAATTCTATTTTATGTGCGACGCAGAAAGGAATCGTATGTCGGTGGACTACATTAATCCACAGGTATATAACGCTTCACTACCACGGCTGCCCATTATTGTGGGGCTTCAATGAATATTAATTAGAAAATCATTCGCGGATCTTTAAACAGCCCGCGAAGCTCGATCGGAAGGAAGAGTGTGGGGAAAAGTTTTTCAATACGTAAGGCAATAAAAACTCATCAAAAAATAATAATATAAATTCATAAATAAGTACGCACAGTCAAACTATTCAGTCGAAACTAAGACCCGGGCTAGGCGAGGGAATACTATTGTACACTTGGTTTATCGTATGATTAGACGGTTTAGGTTGAAAGCGAATTAGAGCTACCAACATTTGTGCTCCGGCTGTTCAATCTTTTTGTTTGATAATTATTTGAGCTTCGAAAGACGTGTCCATGCAAGTTCACGTCTGTATGGAATTCGGTTGTTGCAGCAGTCGCAACAGCTAAGGTTACAATAGTCAATAGATTATCGCAATGTTGTCGCCGGTCGGAAAGTTGTCAGAACACTTGAGGGGCTGCGAGTACTTAAGTTAGGTTGAGCTGCAGGAAAAGGTGCTAACTACACCAGGAAATAGATCACGCCGATAGAACAAACACCACGCCAGGGAGAAGATCAATCCAACCCGAGACCTGGGGACGTAACACAGCCGAGACTCCAACCAAATTTGGAGGCACCAACCCCACCTGGGGGCACCGACCATACCTAGGGGAGCCAACCACAACTAGGGGTACCAACCATATCTAGGCTCCAACTACACCTAGAAGGACCAACCGCATCTAGGGGCACCAACCAAACCAGGAGGTAGGCGCCTATCACGCCAGGGATCACCAACCACACTTTGGAGCCATCCACGCTCTATGGGGCCAGCCACGCCTCAAGGAAGGCCAGAAGTTCTTGTTACGTTAGAGGGTTAGAGTGTTGGTCGGTGCTCAAGAGGACGTGACTATATTTGCTAACAAGTACCTCCACCGGCTCAGCGCCAACGGGACAGCACTTCCATTGGTTCACGAATGATCTATGATGGCGTGGCAGCCGACGGCCGTCTCAGGAGCTCGACACAAAACAATTTTCTCTACAACGGTTGATCAACACTTCATGGCCGGAAGAGAATAAGTGCTCAAAATGTTGTATTTTCTCAAATATAAAAATTTGGATCCTGCCGTGATTGAATGCTGGCATCCCAGACATTTTAAGCTGCCCATTTCGTTATTGCAAAGAAAAGTTTAGAAAACCGCCGCCATTCTGTCATACCTGTCGCCGACGACCTCAGATTTGCCTGGTTCCAGATATTTTATAACTTTAGTTTCAAGATTCCCATAAAATGCCTCTATGCGAATTAAATCAGGCAGGAACTTAAAAAATGTGTACATCATCCCTAATCAGTTCAGTGTCTTTACGATAAGATAATTGTTATCTGTAGTTATTCGGTTTTGAATCCAAACGCAAGTAGACGGGAAACTCAATAATTAGTAGTCCAAGTTCTGTTATAAGCATTAGGCCGAGTGTAGGCTTGGCTCAAGATCGAAGAATTAATTAATAGTGAAAGATTGGAAGACGGGTGAAGAAGAACGTCACGAGCATTTTCATCATTTTCATGCCAGTGTACTTTCGCGATTAATGTAGAGAATTATTTTCAATATAATAAGAAATTTTCTCAAATAATTCAAGTGTGCATTAGAATTTCATAACACAGGCCTAACTAAGAATTATGTGTAATGTGAAGTTCCTCGCCGCGTAACTCCCGTTCGTCATTTCTTATCAAGGAAAACTGATAAGCAAACTTACGGCGTCAGTTGCAATATTGGATGCAATATCAGTTGCAATACCAAGTACGATATCAGGTTGCAATATCGGATGCAATATCAGACGCAATATGAGTGAAGCTCTTTCTTGATAAAATTTTTTGTTATACCATTTTATGACTAAAAAATTCAGAGCCTGAAACTACTTGTAATGTGCAAACACCTTCATTTGTCCCGCCGTACACGCATTACTATACAATCACGTTGCAAAAAAAATTTAATTAGAGTCCAAATGACAGTTGGGATCTACCAATTCTCATATTTTCTTCGTTTGTGACATTTTTCGTTTGAACTGACGATTAATGACATAGGTATTTTATAAAACATTCTATTCTCACAAAATTAAATTCATTCCTTTTAATATACAGCGCATTAGGTACCACAGCAGTTCACGTGTAAAAAATTAATTTTTGGAGGTGATATATAGCGAATCATGCAATGAAACTCCGCAAAAATATTAGCAATAAAATAATCTTACCTAGTTGAAGATGAATCATTTTGGGAACTGGATTGGTGTCCATCAGGTTACAAACTGAAGACAAATAAAAACATTTCAGAGTGAAGATAGATACAATTCTTCGAGCATCGATAGTGAGGATAAATATGCAAAGAAACCAAATGCGTCAGTGACTTTCGTAGAGAGCATGCAGATCCACGTATCCACATGATATTGTCTGGAGTTTGCAAAATTACCAGACATTGTTGAAAATTGCTGAGACCTATTTGTATTTATGTGACTTTACGCACATAAGTTACGGGAAGATGTGGGAAATTACAGGGACGTTGGTGGTGATGGCTGAAGTGAAGATTCCCCTGAGGAAACTACCAGAGGAGGATCATCCTAAACTGGTGCACGAGGTGAGTTCTGGTGAATAGGGAGTAAAAGTCCTAACAGTAAAGTAAAGCAGAGTTCATTCTTTACTCATTCGAGAAAATTAGGTAATAAGGGGAGAAGTGAAATAGCGTGCTAGGAGGAGGTGTTCGAAGTAACCAAAAATTGTGCTTCAGGTATGCCATCGTTCAGAGTTATGCTTGAGAATTCCAAGCAGAAGAATCATCGCTCTTAAGTGACGCCTGCGATAGGAGGTAGTGAAAGGTTTATTTATAAGAAAAAATGATTAATCAACTGAGAGATACAGAGCACACATTCCTTTTAGATATCAATCAAATGAGTAACATAGAACTTATTACCTACACCTGAATATTATTCGCCAATTGAATGATGGCAAGGGCATGTTTCGTATGCGTGGAAGTTATTCAAATAAGCATAATAGAACACTAGTTGATTATGCCTTTTTAAACAAACTAAATTCTAGTAATCTATTCCTCTTGTCGAAAATTTGATCAGTTGATTCTGAAAAACTTTAACCCTATCCTTCGCGTTCCAGGTCTACAAGACACTCGTGAGTCCAAAGGAGAGTGCGTTAGGCAAGGACTTCGGCAAGAAGGCGGTTGGAGAGGTGGACACATACTTTGCTGGACAAATTGTTGTCCTTAAAGGTAATATTGTTGAATGTAAAAAAAAATCATAGAATAACCTAGGTTTGGAAAACTAAAAATTTTTATGACACTCATTACATCAAATCAAACGAACATGATCATTGATCAAGGTGAACAGACACATCTAATGGAAGAGTGTGATTTCATTGAATTCACCACAGCGTATGCTGATTATGAATGACAGCACACACAATAACATTCTTACGTATGTAATCAAGCGTATAACGTCATAATACAAAATTACAGAAACAGAGGCCAACCATTTCACCTTAAGCTGCATGAAGGAGGTGATCTTGGCGTTCGGTCTCGGTGACGTCATGTTTATCGGAGCTGTTGAGGGATGCATCAGTAGAGTCATTTTCGTAGCACGCAGTCAGAATTTTGGCCGAGTCGCTGTGGTCTTGCAGATGGAAACTCCCGAAGACGCTGTTAAGGTTCGCGAAAAGATCGGACACAACAAGAACCAATGCAAGTAAGTTCGAAAATGAGGGTCTTGCCTTTCATTTGAATTAGTTCATCAGAGCGCTGAAACATTTCGAACGTATTTATGATTTCAGCTTGGTTATTATATAATGTTGATTCCTGTGTAGATTGTTGTACATATTACCTAATTACAAAGAATGATAGCTTACTGAAAAGCATTTAAGCGAAAGCTTTTCTTAAAGAAATACAGACCAAAAGTCTTATCCTGAGCCAATTTAGCATTCCAATAAAGTAATTTCAAATTTTCATCGACTTATCCAATTTTTTTATTGATGAAATTTGGCTTTTCATCGTAGGGGATATTACGATAACGATAAGTCCTGTCAGGGCTTTAAAATTTTTCTTCGATATTTTGCCCAGGTCTGAAAGTCAGGAGAAGAGTTCTTCGACTTCATCCAATCAGAGTGTGATCATGAAGTTGACAAATTTACTCAGTCCACCTAGTAAACCTGAGACCACGCCACCAAAGGATAGCCAACAGGTTGGGTACTACGAAGTTGTCGAAAGTTCTGACGAAGATAATTGGTATGAGCCAACATTGGATAGAGATACTGTGCAGACGCCAGTTACAGCGAAAATATCAACGACTTCAGTTCCAGACATACAGGCTCAAATTGAAGCAGAAATCAACTACATATTGACAACAGAAGATACATACGTCAAGCTGCTCAATACCCTTGAAGAACGTAGAAAGGACTTGGCTGCTAACTCGGATACACCCAAGTTCGTTATCAAGTGGTTGAGTCAGTTATTCCGACAAGTGAAATCTCTAGAAACAACTCACGAAAGTCTATTGCAGAGCCTCGTAGAAGCTAAGTACGACATTACAAAGTTCAGTGAGGCGTTCGTTATTCATGAGAAACAGTTCCGTTTTTACGTTTACTATATTGAAAATATCCCGACAGTTGAACGAATCTTGAATTCGGAAGACTGTTCACCCTATTTCAAAGAAAAAATGCCAGAACTTAGAGAAAAACTAAGACAGCCTCGACTGAGATTGAACCATTACGTATTAATGCTCGAGTCACTCTACAAAAAAGTTGACTCTCAGAACCAGACCGCTCTTCAAAAAGCTATTGACATGTGCAAATCTTACCTCAAGGAAGCTGACCAAGCTCTGTTTTTGAGCACAATCAAGAACTGTCCATCATCTATGCAGAAGTCAACATGGGGAAACCTTATCCACATGTCAGAATTACAATTGGTGTCTTCGCCTGATCTGCCGAGAAAATATTTCACGTTGGTGCTTTTTGAAAAGAAGTTATTACTCGCTCGCGGTGACAGGGATGACTTGGAGTTTGTGAGATGCTTTCCGTTGGATGAGATCATACTTAATACGAACATAAGGGGATTGATTTTCTCCTTTGCTGTCAACAATGGTGAGGGCAACTTGGCTAATAAGATTTACGCTTTTAAAGCCAAAAATGTTAAAGCTCAGCACGAATGGGTCGTTAAGCTAAAAGAAGCCATAAACACAGTGAAAATAACACTTGTGAGAAGCAACACGAGAGTTAGCTTCGGTGCATCAACAGCGAGCAAGTTAAGAAGGAAGCTTGCGACCCCAAGAATTAAAATAACGAATCCTACAGAAAATGACTCAGAATCTGACGATGATGTGTGCGCGTCCAAACAATACTGGATTAACAGACGCAAAAATAAATACAAAAAGTTCTCTTCAAATCGAGAACTGAAGACATTCCATACTAAAATCTCAGGTAGTCTTTCCGATGGAGAAGAAACGAGTAATATTCGTCACGGGATGGCTCCTCTCACTGTTTGGAGCTTCTTCCAAAAGTTTGAGGTTGTATACAAGCTGCTTCGGAGGGACAGCGGAGAGTCGTCAAAATCAACTGACTTCGGATGGGTGTCCGATGAGAAAAATTATGGTCCCAACATGAATGTTGTAGAACTTAACTACATTGAAGGACTACGAGAACAACTGGGAAGACTTCTGGATCCGAATGTCGCGAAACCTCCCAAGCAAATCCAAAAAGATCTTCGACGCATATACCAGTTGCACATCGAAAAAATAAAGCCTGCATTCGATGAAGTTGAAGCAATGGAGTTAGAAACTGAGTTTCTTAGAACCATCACCAGGCATGGAGAAGATATTTCATCTGTATACTGTGACTTTCTTATAAATCGATGCACATACCATGACGAAATTTTGGATATGTGCCTGGAAGACAAGTGCATTAAGCCCATCGATCACTTCCTAAAGTACTGTACGAACGTCATCTTAATGCAAGAAGACAGAGGATTCGACGACGCTCTAATCAACACAGCGGCCGAAGTGCTTCACCACACCATCACCGCTGCAAACAACTACTTGATGGCCGAATGCATCAACAATGTCCCATTCGCACTCAGCACGTGCGAACCGATATTGCTTGTGAGTAAAATGAAAGTCAAGATCGACAACCGTTCGAAAAACGAATGTCAAGTCGTTCTCGTCAAAGATCAGTTGTTCATCCTGGAGATTGTGCCTCCTTTGTACAATTATATCTGTACACTGAGATTGGACAGCGTAAGTTTGGGTCCTATGACCAATCGGTTTCAGTTTGAATTGGAGTTGAGCGTTTCGTCCGCCGTGAGACGGACGTACAGCTTCAGAGCTCAAAATGAACAAATAGTTTTGCAGTGGACGAACGAGATCCGACGGATTCTCTTTAGCCAAGCTGAAAACTTGAAGAAGAGTGTCCAGCAAAGGCTGGATGAAGCTCCAACACTACAGGTAGGCGTACATAATTTGCATCTCGACGTCGCACGGTCACCCTCTATGCCCAAGAAGAACTCTTTTTTTCATGTTGATCTTAAAGAAACTAATCTTTAATGACAAGTTCACCGTTTCTAAAAAAAAAACAGAAATTATTCCAGCATCATTCCGATCAGTTCTGATCCAATTATCATTGTTATTGCCGATTTTCCGAGCCAAACGTCCACCCGACACGGTCAAGTTTAAGTAAACTATTGTGCAAGATCGGTCAATAAATTGAGATTTTTAATGCAAAAATTACTTTCAATCAGAGTTTTTTTAACTTTAAAACATAATGCAATTTAAAAATTTTGCCTTGATTAATTTATTGCTTGAATTGCCAATGAACTAAGTATATATTTGTATAGAAAACTCTAAGAAAAATCAAAATAATTGCAACCATGCAAAGCGTTTCGGAGAAAAGCTTTATGGTTATTTCAGAAATTCAAGAAAACTAGTATGGTAACTTTGCTTACTAACTTTCCAGAGTGGAAATTAAAACCTTCATCAACCAATGCAAATATAAGTAAAGGAACTGAATAGGAGGGGGAAATCTGTGCATTAATAATTTCAAGCAGATAATATCGGGTATTTCTGTTTAAAAGTGCTCAGGAATACAATTCCAAAGCCGGATGCGCCGGAAATGGAAGAATAATTTTTTTGAATCTATGTAACTTTTAAAATATATCTATTTAGCATCTTAAAATCAGTGGGACATCGCAATTCGTAAATGCGTATAGCTGCACGAGAGATTCCAAAATTCGTATCTGCATTGGTCCCTGAAATTCTTATAAACCACATTATTCAAGCCCTTGTATTCCACTTCTAAATTAATCAATCGTTTTACGCATATCAATAAGGTCGTCCATATCGCTTAAAGTAAAGTCGTCGGTGCTAAACAATTAAATAATGTGAATTATTTACAAAATCCGACATGTTTACTGTAGCAGTGTAAAGTAATGTGAATATAATTTTAAGATGCCACGGTCAAAATTCTAAATTGAATTTTTTATCATAAGCAAACATACTTATGATCCTCGATCTGATAGCGAGCATTGCGATACACCTAGCTTTAGTTGACGCTGGGGCAAAGATATGAAAGATATAATCACGAATAAGCATCGAAATGTTAAGAGGTATAGTATAGCATAGCATTGTAGAGTGGGCGTAGAAGATTGGTCCAAGTCTGGTCGGTCGTAGATTCTTTTAATGTTTTCGACTCATTTCCAGACGACAGAGTTACTTTAACCTACCCAGGATGGTAAGGTTAAAGTCCAAATATGTCACCGCATCCATACTAGATGACGCAACGATGTCAGGTCGGAGTTTGTTCTACAGGTCAGAGACGCGAAGCGAGAAGAAATGTCGCATGAATGAGCTGAAAAGTTCTTTTAGTTAATAACCTTTGCCCCCTGGCGATTATTCACGTTTCATATTCAAGTAGCCTTTATTTTAATTTTATATAACCTACGAGTATGCTTATATACTCTTTAAGATCACCTCAGATACCTCAAAAATACAAACTAGGAAGCTTCATAAACCCTAATACTCCTTCGTGGGGCTAGCCCTTCAAGCCAGGAATTATCCTTATTGCACGCATTAACACACTTCAGACTATCCCTTTCGTCGGTGCCCATAAGGTATTTCCAAACTTTAGTTGCAGGGGCACGACTGCAACAAACAGCTTCATATATTCGGCATCTTATTGTTCGTTAAGAACTTCTATAGTTTATTTGCTTTAATAAATTGCGCTTCAATTTGTGAATAAATTTTTTAATCTTAGTCTGCATGAACTCCCAATTCTTTTTCCACTGTCTTATCTTCACATCGCATCCATGTCTTTTACATATGGTAATCTTTTTGTTCATTATGCATACCAAGGTAATCTTATACACTTTTCAACGTTGACGCGCAGCTGCTACGTCTCTGTCAACTCAATTTAACTGTCAAGATCAGCTAGCAACAGAACCAATCCTCATGCATCTTTCTCTGTATTAATGTTGATGTTTGTATCTTAAGCGTACGTGGAAAGCACGCTTGCCACTGCTTATAGTTTACACACACCGTTTAAAAGCAACGTATGGTTCGAGCCCGAGAACTCTTCACAGCGGCACTCCGCCATGATAGAAAATTTGCATCGCAAGATGGAATCAGGATCAGAGTTTACTTTGCAGAACGGAAATTATTCGTAATCCGAGAAATTTACATCGCACCTGTATTCTCAAATGCCGCTATAAATTTCTAGACATGAAACATTTGAATGTCATCGAGATCGCGATGGAGAAAAGCTTTAGAAGCTTGGTCCAGTTATATGCCATGCAGTGGACATTAAATTGATTATGGTTTGCATAAATATTATATTTGTGACACGAAATTCGTATTTAATAACAGTCATGTTGATTTTGTGTGGTCAAGTTAAGTTTGAGTTTTATTGTTGGTATGTTATGCAATATGATTGCCGTTTTCTATTCCGATGCAATGAAATGTACATAAGAAGTGCATAGTATAAATGAAATGTACTTATAAGAAGAGCATAGTATAGATGAAATGTACATATAAGAAGAGCAGAGTAGGCTATTTTCAAGTAAACATGAGCAACGTCGTCAATCTGTTTCTTCACATCCCCTCGTTTTCTTCAGTTAATTCAATAGAATACAACGTCGTCACTACTTATGACATAGATATTCGAACAGAGGTTAGTAATGAAACGTTGACGAAAAATATTCACATTTTTAATCATTACTCTGGATTGAAAACGAATTATAGTTAAATGTGAGACATTTAGCAAGACTAGTTCTAATTTATTCCTTGTTCATTTTAGCACATAATATTAGACAAATTATAATTCACATTTATGTATGAGTATAATTTTTTGGTAATGTAATAACTTATACATAAAAACAATCCGATAAATTACTCTACTAATAAATATAATAAATTAAATTTTTGTTATACGATTAAGATTACACGGTTTCTATGATGATAAAATATACTCGAGTGAATAAATTCACGTTAACGCAAAACTAATACCAACAAAATTTCCTCAGCTAAAAATTATAAATGTGAAGCAAAAAATTGTAAGTTGTAATGAGAATTCAGTGAATTATTTCCAAGCTCGTGTCCATGTAACCGAAATTGAATCATATACGTCTCTTATTCGTGAAAATAACCGAAAACGCTCAGTATTTATGAATATTAGGCACGAAAACGGTATGAGAGGTTCACAACCTGCACATGAGCTGAGAAGAAGAAAGAAAATTGTATTTGATACAGTTTTTAAAATTTAAAATATGCATAATATTTAATGACTGCTATGAAGGCAGAGTCAAGCGGGATAACTTATTGCAATTCGTGGGCAACCTCTTGGGCCATGGCAAACAGGCCTATAGTTGTCTCCTCTGCCGTAGGCTCGATCTGGTCACGAGGCAGCAGGTATCCGTGCTCGCCTGTAGTGTACATCAATAAAATAATGTATAGGCGATGGTGTGAAGTTATGAGAACCTAACTGCAGTTTCATCAATAATGAATATAATATTCCATTAGATCAAATCCCAAACTAAACTCGAAATTATAAACTATTACTGAAGCAAAGAAATTGTGCCTCCGTCCTCCTCTCACTTCCATATCTCTCGTTACTTATCAACCCTTCATCTTTTTAGCTCATTTTCTCATTTATGGGAAAATGCACTATTGTGCTCGCCATGTCCGTCTGTCTGTCTGTCCGTCCGTGACTTCAAGTTTTCGTCGACGAGAAAATGCGCTCTCTGTCACTCACAGCAGTGAGTACTGACTACTGAGTTATATTTTTTTCCCTCGTTCCCCTTCAAACCCTCAGCCCCTCATTTCTATATCTCATTTCTATTCAACCCCTCATCCCTCACCTCTATATCCCTCACTCTCCTACAACCCCTCACCCCTCACCTCTATATCCCTCACTCCCCTACAACCCCTCATCCCTCACCTCTATATCCCTCACTCCCCTACAACCCCTCAT